ATGCCTTTCGACTATATTTTAGGGTTTGACTATATTTATTACTTGTGGAAGTGGAAGGTGTGAATATGACGTTTAAAACCAAAATTGATAATGTTACGAAAAAACTTTAAAACATGATTTTTTCATTGCTTGTTAAACATATTAGTCGAATCAGTTCATAAATGTTCATGGTTTTTCTTAAGGCTATTTCCACAGCTAACTAGTAACTAGTCTTGGACGTTTTGAACTATTTATGATCATAGTAAGTATCATTTTCCATATGAAATAATTAAAGTTATTGTGAGCAGACATGACAAGCATAAATAATAAAAGTTCATATTTACCAATAGTTTTGGAAATCAATGTTTCAAAAATATCTAAAAAAATCGATTATATCATAGGATGTTCGAGGTACGTATTACACATATTCATGCTTAGTACTCAAGATTTTTAACTGAAATAACAGCCCTTCCCTAATAGAGTTTTAGGCCTGGTGATTAAAGCACTCGACTCACAATTTGTGGATCGCGCGTTTGAGTCCCGTCACCGAACATGCTTACTCTTTCAACTTTGGGGCGTTATCATGTCACTGTCAACCCCACTATTCATTGGTAAAGAGTAGCCCAAGAGTTGGCGGTGGGTGTTATGAGTAGTTACCTTCCCTCTAGTCTATCACTTTAAAATTAGAGATGGCTTGCGCAGATATCTCTCGAGCAACTTTGCGCGAAATTCAACAAAACAAAGAAACAAACTCAGATTTTAGGAACAAAAAAATAAAATAAAAAATACGACAAAAGAAACGCAGTTCGAGCCCGGGTAGAAATACACATTTTTATATAAGTAAGTTAAGCAAAGCTGTGTTATTGTGTCAACAAGGTTACTGTTATGTCTTGCTGACATATTATTATAATATGGGTGTACGTGAGATGTGGACATCTGTTTCTTTCACGTCATTTTTTAATTTAGTTTGAGCAATAGCCATTGTTTTCAAGATTATACGTTTTAGCTCACGGTAAATAGACATTCAGAGAGTAATTTTCATCAAGGACGACGCGCTAAAACTTGAATTCGGGAGAGGGCAAAGTTCATCGTTGGCGTGTAATGTATAAAAATATGTAATTATAGACCTTGTCAAATGGTTCTAAAATACTGTTTTTAAAACATAAATAATTTTCTCCACGCAATCCTAATCTTTCATCTAACTACTAGGTGGCCAATAGGTAATAAACGTCCTTACCTAGCGGAGACTAATAGCATTTTTCCACTTGCGTGTAATAATCACTTATGCAAAACAACCGATTTATACGCTGCAAAATAAATATTTTTTTAGAATCAATTAATTATTGTATATAATTTCTAGGTATAATTAATTTATAAAATTTTTAGCTTCGATAAACAACGTTAGGTGACAGAAGAAAATACGTTTTACTTGAATTAATTATAGAATATAGCTCAAAACAATGCGTAGCATAATCAGACTATCCAAGCCTTCTAGGCACTGTTAAGCTTACTTCTTCACTCGAACAAAGCACAAAACTTGGACTTTTAAAGTGCAACTTTAATAAAACAGAAGCTTTAAATTTATGTTTGTAAATGTTTATTTTTTCGGTCGCCTCTTATGAAATTGCCCGGCATGGCCAGGTGGATAAGGCGCTCGACTCACAATCTGAGGGTCGCGGGTTCGAATCCGCATTCTACCAAACATGCTCGCCCTTTCAGCCGTGGGGGCGTTATAATGTGACGATCAATCCCACTATTCGTTGGTAAAGGAGTAGCCCAAGAGTTGGCGGTGGGTGGTAATGACTAGCTGCCTTCCCTCTAGTCTTACACTGCTAAATTAGGGACGGCTAGCGGAGATAGGCCTCGTGTAGCTTTGCGCGAAATTCCAAAACAAAACAAAGCTTTATTGTAATTAACATTATATTTCCAGGCTGGTATGCAGAATGTTTGAAATGAAAGGGTCTTAATTTGTGAGAAGAAAAGCCAACACCAATTGTACCGTGCACAATCAGCATGCAAACCATGCTAATGCTACGGGGTAGTCTGGGGGCATGCCCCCCTAGAAAATTTGTCAAGAATAAGTGCTACGAGATCAAATCCGGAAGCAATTTTGCATGAAATATAGCTTAAACAATTGCAAGGCTGTTCACATAAAATCCACAAACATCCAATGTAAAGTCAACAATCAATCATTTTGTTGTAACACTGTATGAGGAGCTAGATTACGTATGTTTTACTATAGTAAAATACTGCACTATCTACATGCAGAGTAGTTATTAGTTGTTAAATTATATTACTAATTTAGATAAGTTTGTGCAACAATAGTATATTAACTATTTCAATCAATATAAATACGCGTCGAAATATTATTATTTAGATCTAGACTGCGTGCTTGTGAGTTTAGCGATAAAGAGCATATGGTGGCAATTTTTAAAGAGAAATTATCACAGACTGTATTGTAATAACAGAGTAGAGAAGAATAATTCGGCTTGTCAATTGTGTTCTGAAGTAATTGAAACAGCCTGTGTGGACTTCATCACAGTTTTGTTTACGTAACTGTTTGCAAATCATACGTTGTGTAGTTCAATAGTTATGAATTGGCGATTGTTATATTATTGTTTCATGTCACTAAAACATTGTGAGTTTTTCTCGTTGTTTTAATTGAGTATTATTGCATCATTATATCTAGTAGTGTGTGGAACGTTCGAGACCTTTGTCGAGGTATAAATACGCGTCGAAAATTCAGTTCGAAAAATAGATCTAGACTGAGCGTTTGTTAGTTTAACCATAAAGAGCGTATATTGGCGATTTTTAAAGAAAAGTTATTACAAATTGTATTGTAATAACAGAGTATAGAAGAATAATTAGTTTTGTCAAAGTGTATTCTAAAGTAATTGAACCAATCTATGTAGACTTTTACGAAAAGAGACAATTATTTAAAGCTCTGGATACAACTGTAGTAGCATGTCTTCAGACTTACGAAGCTAGAAACTGGGTTTCGATACTTGTGGTTTGCACAACACAGATAGCCCATTATGTAGCTTTGGGCTTAGTTACAAACAAACAACTGTAATAACGAACAGTGTAATGAACATTTGTATATACGATTGATTTTTAAATACGATATTTTAAAACAAGTGGATTGTTTTACTTTTGTTTATTCTTAAAATTTATCGCCAACCAGTTACAGACACCTACTCTAAAGAATATAGCTTATAAAACCTGACAATAGCAATACGGTTTCGGAATTTCAATTACAAAGTGTCAACAGAAGCCATTGCATGCGACATTTTCAAGCCAAAAAAATGCTAATGCTTCATCAGAAGAATGTAGACTATGTAGAAAATGTTAGAGACAGAAAATTCAAAAGCAACAGTTTTTCAAATTTAGAAAAGTACGTGTAAAATAACGTCTATGACGTTTCTGATGCTGTAGACGTTAACAGGAATTTCCTGTTTAAAGCCGAGTTTATTAATATACGGTGACCTTTCCTTACGGAAGAATAAGGTTTTTCTCATTATCTAATTTGTGAGACAAGAATGTAAAATCTAACCATGTTTCAGACATTCTCTAACTCAAGTCGACGCGAACCTAGTCAAGGAAAGAGCTAAACCAACACCGAAAATTAATGTTAACGTCTTTTCTATTATCATAATATATTGTGAGATTATAACAGCGATTTCTACGTTTCACGAATGGAAATATAATATATAAAGCTAAGTTTGTGTCTGTTTGTTCGCACCTTTCAGCCATCTGTTTCTTATACCTTTCCACATTTCTTGATCAATCAGCACCAAACTTGACACAGTAATATAGAATGACATGAGGAAGGTCATGAAGTGGGTGGGGGTTGGGCCCCACCTTCTATATAATTAAACGTCAATATGTGTGTGTATCTGTTCCTTATACGTTTCCACACTTCTTGATCAATCAGCACCAAACTTGACACAGTGATACAGGGTGACACGAAGAAGGTCATGTGGGAGGGTTGAACCCCCATCTAATTTCGGAAAAACTACGAAATCAGCACAATTTGACACAGTGATACAGGGTGGCTTGAAAAAAGTCATGATGGTGGCTTGTAGACCCCATCTAATTTCATGTTGATAGAATTCTTGAAAACTGTATTGGTACCTTTATGTATTTTTATTGCACTTTTAATATTTATTATGTTAAGAAGAAAAAAAGAAGCACAACTTCCTATCCTTTGTTACAAACGAGTTTATATTTCACTCGTCCAATGAACGGGTGCTCCAGCTAATAATATATAAACTGTTTTTCACTTGAAACGTTTAAGTACCATTAACGTTTAAGCGATACTTGGTGATTTCACTTTTTTTATTTAGGTAGCAACAAAAATCACCATTGATATCTTTGTATAAATGTGTTGTGCATAGCAAATTGATATAATACGAAAAGATAAAAAATATAATTCTCACTGAGATATTGTGGTACATCTCAGTTGGTGTACAACGATTTATATTATTCAAAGAGACTGGGACATTATGCAGCACTTCCTTAGAATGGCATACGTAGGCACTGCCATCTAGTGACGTACATTGACAATGAAAGGCTCCCACGGTAGTGCTAGTTGCTGCACCTATTTGACACAGTTTAAAGCATACTTCGACGCGTACTACTTGATGGTAGAATTTAATCTTCTACCACTCGTATGAAAACAGCTTACTATTGAATGTGGTAATAACCGTCTTATATTACTAACCAACAGTACAATTGAACAAAACGAGTTTTCTTTAAGTAAACCAGTGAGTAAAAATATCTGCTTGTATTTTAATGTGAACAATTACGCTACAGATTTTACTATGTATATATATATGACATGATCATGCAAAGCGTACATCCAACGGAAAGCTAAGAACTCTTTTTTTATCTTGCAAAAATTTCGTATTGTGATTTTAACAGGAAATTAGAATGTTCGTTACGCTTCAAGATGCATTAAAATCAGTGTTTGTTATACGCTTATCGGAAATACGTTGGCTAATCTCGAAGTGACGTCGTGATTGGAAATCGAGTCTATTATTAAGGGTTATGTACTTAAAGATTGCCAAACCACAGTAGAGGTTGAAAAACTAGCACTTCTGATACCAGTTCAAACTTAAACTAAAGACTCTTTCGAAAGCAAGCACAGAAAAGACAAAGAACTCACCATGAGTTCCAAGGGTGTCTGTTCGAAAAGCAGAGCACGTTTTCTTGTCCTTGAAACACCCAAACAGTCTTATGTGTAGTATAAAAAAGTTTCGACCTCTTCCTTCGGAACGCTATACAATAATAGCCCAACAACGCCCTTCAGTTTTTAATCCAGATCTAAATAGTGTCACTGTAAGAAATCTACTTCACTCTAAGAGAAGCCGCCTGTTGGAATTACGTGATACTCGCTCTGAATGCCCATGTGGTAGCTGCAGCTCGTGTCTTTCTGGACATCAGTATTCAACCATGTGTCACGTTCCATTTGGCGGTTTACCTTTTCAAGCTACTCCAGGAATCAAGTTAAAACTTCTTCATGAAGCCGATGTACGCGTGTGTAAAGTGGTTCATTCGAGGAATGTGGTACGAAAACTTCTTGGCACAAAGTTTCTCCCCAAGTGGGAGAATCATCACCTTTTCTTCACCGACACCGAAATCTTATCTCGAAGCGTAAGTATAAGCTTAATGTAAAATATTTTTTTTCAAGCGCACACATAGACAGATGGAGAAACATTCTAAAATGAATACAAATGTAAGAGTTATATTTTCTGCCCGTTTAGTAAACAAAACGATTTCCCAACGTGCAAATATGCTTTGATGCATAATTTATTTTATAAAAAAGTTGGATAACCTGCTCATATTTCTGATTAGTATTAATATTATATTTTCAAAGTTAAATAAGCATAATGTCCAAAATTTTTATTAATGATGCATCACAGTTACTGTTAATAATCAGGTCACGTACGTGTAAACATGTATTGATTTAAAGGAAGGCTCGTAATTAAGTTTTATTACGTACTTCACGAGACTTTAATTTAACAATAAATCATTGTTTTACAGTTCGTCGTCTCAACGCGTATGAGAACTAAACGCCGTTTAACCAATTGGTTAACCAATTCTAAACGAGTAAGAAAGACGGGTTTCCTGATTCCACATTTACTTCAACCCCATTATTCTTGTTATCATTCTCGTGATTCATGTTTAGTGCAGCAGTGCTGAAAAACAAGTCACAATATATTAAAAAGCACAATCAATTACTGGTGAAGAGAAATATGCATATTAAAACGTCACTGAATAAAACGTTACAAGCCATTCCGCTTAGCCCGGCATAGCCAAGTGGTTAAGGCGCTCGACTCGCAATCTGAGGGTCGCGGGTTCGAATCCCCGTCACACAAACA